GCTAGGTGAAGGCAATGGGCAGTGGGGGTGGGAGGGGGAGAGTGTTATGGATGGGAGTTTGAACTCTTAAGTTTGGGTATGATCTGCCCATGTAGCTTCCTGCATGAAGTCTTGGGTGAGAACTGTCTCTCCCTTTCCTTTTTTCAGGACTCAGCTCAAAGCCTCTTTCACATTTAGCCTTCTTCCACCCAATGTCTACGAATGCTAATCCACTTGTGTTTATCATATCCATCTGCTACTTTCCTTTTGCAAGTAAATTTAGTTTGGGACCCTTTCCTGGGTGTAAAGATCAATGAAATGCAATGGAATTAGAATACTAAATTTGAGTACCTACTTCACTGCTCATGAGCAGCTAATGCTGTGCTTTCAAATATTATCTCAATACTATCCTCAGAATGAATCCGTTCTACTTGGAATATATCTGACCTCCTCTGGATGGTCCTTTCTTATAAAAGTCCATTTTAGTATCACTTCCCCAGAAAAGCCTTCTCTGAAGACCAGCTAAAGTAGTGTTTTCATCTTGCCATTTGCAGTGACGCGGATGGAGCTAGAAAATATTATGCTAAGCGAAATAAGTCAGTCAAAGACAAATACCATATAATTCTACTCACATGTGGAATTTAAGAAACAAAACAAACAGGCATATTAAGAAACAAAACAGACAAGCGTACGGGAAAAAAGAGAGAGAGGCAAACAAAGAAACAGTGTTCACGATAGAGAACAAACTGATGGTTATCAGAGGGGAGGTGGGCACGGGATGGGTGAAATAGGTGGTGGGGATTAAGGAGGGCACTTGCTATGATGAGCACTGGGTGTTGTATGGACGTGTTGAATTAGTATATCATACACCTGAAACTAATATTACACTCTATGTTAACTAACTGGAATTTAAATAGAAACTTAAAATGAATGAATGAATGAATGAATGAAGACAGGTTTTTTCCCCAGGATTACCACCACAGTTTTTAACAACACTTAAGTGATATTTTCTTTTTTGTTTCCTTTTTTCTTCTCCATCAAACACTCCCTTTAGAAACTGGAGGCACCATGAGAACAGAGATCTAACCAGTTTTATTCTCCCCTGGATGCCCAGCATCTGGAAGAGTGCTAGAGATGTCATAGGAGCTCAATAATCACATATTGCACGAAAGTGAGAGGAATGCTAGTGTATCGTGATACCTAAAAGCAGTTTTAAGAAATCCACAGAGGGATTGGTAATTTTGAATTTGTGGTGCAGTCACATGTGAATGGAAGTGCAATTACGCTTGTGGATAGATTTTATCATTCTGTACAACATACAGGTCACAGTGTTCATTATCTTCCTAAGCGTATGACTTAAATATATGACTCACTGAAGCCTCGTGACTACCGATCTTGAGTGACAAGGAGCATTGCTTCTACTTCCCCCCCTCTTCAGTACCTGGCTCAGTATCACATGCGTAGTAAGCACTCAATAATTATTGAAAAATGATCTGCAAAGTTCCACTTAAAATTAGAGACAGAAAAGGAGTTCTTGTCAGAGTTCTGGCAGAAGTCTGACAATATCCTTACAGTCCGTTACAGGGACCAGATGGGACCTGCACATCAGCACCCAGGCTGGGGGGCCAACACACCCATGAACGAGGCGATTGTTTTATCTCTGTGGTTACTAGACAGCATGTGCCCCACAGGAACAGATTAATCACCAGCACACTAAGCAGGGTGCCGTATCACAAAAGTTAATTTATTGGGATGTTCACAGGGTTTCCAATGTTTGTATTTTCTTAATTTCAAATATTCACTAAGAATAAAAAACGTGGCAATTCTCTTTTATCAATAACTTTGATTTTAAATGAGAAGTTATTTATTCTGAGACTTTCTCCCTAAATAATTGATTTACAGGGTAAAGCATTAGAGGGGAATGTCTTATGCAGCCATGATGTGAGTTAATAGAACTGGAGTCAGAAGGTCATTCAGACGTCGTATAAAAGCATTTTTGCTTATACTCAGTATAAAGCAAGCAAGTACAGGATCCTCATGTATGAAAACCCTCTTGTTTTAGATTTCCTTGAGGAAAGGGAAATAACAAAGCGCTTTTCAGGCATGCTATGCAGAGAAGGGTGTTTAAATATTCCACTAAAAAATTATTGCATTTAAAATTACAAACTCATTTAGCTTGGTTATTTTCTTAATATAAGTGCTTAAAAATAGGGGTACAGTAATGAATTTTAAGTAACTTAATCTTCATAATCACATACTGAGTTGATGTTAAATAAGGAGAAAAATAGTACAAAAATTGCATTATGATTTTTAAGTCAACCAAAAATAACTGTCACATTTATAAACATGGAATTACTTTACTAACATTCTGCTAAAAACAAAACAAAACAAAAAACAATCTTCTTGAAGTGTCCAAGTTCTAGCTTAAGTGTGTTGTGTTTATGTTTGTCCACTGTTTTTTTTTTTTTTAAATAATTCCAATTATTTTGTGGTTAAATAACCAGCAGAGTCAAGTTCTCAAGCAAATGTGGGGACCTAAGTTTTAGCAAGGCAAAACTAAGTTGTGTCAACTTATTCCACAAAACTATGGGGTTATCTTAGGTAGGCTATGTAATGTATATATTGCTTTTGTACAATGCTTTTTCATTTTAAAATCCATAGGAAAACTTCCTTCCCCCCGAAAGATATTTAGTATTTTTTATATTAAAAACAAACATAAATTACTTTAAACAGAAAAATTTTAAGTATTATACTGCTTCTTCCTTGAATACTATAAGGTTAACTAATAGATTTTAAGTTTTTGGTGGGGCTCATTAAAAGATCTTACCTAATGCAGTAATGCTTTGAACATTTTATTTTATTTTATTTTTTAATATTTTTAAAAATATTTTTACTTATTTATTTATTTGAGGGAGAGAGAGAGGGAGAGAGCACGAGCAGGGGGAAGGGGCAGAGGGAGAGGGAGAAGCAGGCTCCCAGAGAGCAGGGTCCTGGGAACACGACCTGAGCCGAAGGCAGACCCTTAACCAACTGAGCCACCCAGGCGTCCCTGAACATTTTATATATAATATTTAATTTTGACACAAATGAGTTTCATGGGAAATGATTTTTAATTAATTAAAAAGGAACAAAGATGTTAAATATTATCTCAAAATGAAAGTAAACTATTTGAAGATCAATTTCAAAGATCATTGAAAAATGGAATCAGATTGTAACAGAAATCTATGGAAAAGCATGGGAAATAAGATGTAAAACAGCATATGTTTTGTTTGAGTCTATTAATAGTCAAAAGGTAAATACTACTACTAAGAACATTAACATTTTTCTTTTGGTTGCCTCCATGGTTCTAATTTGTATACTTCAGGAATGATATATAATGAGGATGCCCATTAAATTTGGAGGTAAAACAACATCCTTTTGAGGTCTCATTTTATGGCTTTGGTAGTAAGGCAAAGTATTAAAAGAGAAGTTTTAGCTGAGTAAAAATTAAAAAATGAGATGCTAGGTCAAGAAGCAAAAACTTTCTATTAGGCGGCCAAGAATCCTAAGGATAATTTCACCCATGTTCAGCTATAAATACATGGAAACTGGAGATTAGAAAGTTTTTTCCTTTCCCTAGAGAAGGATATTTCACCTGAGACAGTTCTATAATGTGTCCTACAACCCCCAAGGTGAGGAGTAGGTGCCAGGAAGGGAGCTTTGACGGGACCTCAAGAAGCACCTGCTGCTGAACATGCAGTTGGTGGAACATTTTAGACTAATGTCTAAAGGTGAGAAAGAGACTGACAAGCTTCAGGGAAAACAGAGACCAGACTCAGTGGCTATACTGACATCAGCCTGAACTTCTAGAGTGTGTCCAGGAAAAGACACATGATGGTTTTCCATGGAACAGATGGGAGCCATGCTTGCTCAAAAATGGGATGGCATGAGGTCACCTTAGGTCCTGTTCAAGAATGTTGAGTGGAAAGACTTAATAATATCTAGTCAAAGTGCAATCCATCACAGGGTAAAAAATGGGAGCATACCAGTCAGAGAAGAAATGTAGTCACACTTATCCAGAGAACTGCAAGGGAAAGAACTCCAGAAAGAGGAAATTCCCCCCAAAACTCACTAAGAATGACTTTGAAAGAAAAGTCACCTTTAAACATCTGACAAGGCCAGAAAGTTGAGAAGTGAGGTCCCTCTGACAATGACAGTAGACACTTGTCTGAACCCCTCACCTCCTCCCTTCTCCTGATTTGACTAGAGGGGTCATAAACTATGTTTAATAGGCTTCAAGAAGAGGAGGAATGATAGATAGGGACAAAGAGAAGTCTCTGAACATCTCCCTGCCCGGAGCCTTTCCTCACATGGCTTGTCCAAACAGGGAAAGGTAGAAGGAACATAGGTTGAAAGTTTTATTACATCAGACTGGACCTTTTAACTGTTGGATGACAACCACCTGTACTACCTGAGAGTGACCTCGAAAACCATGGTTGCCTGCTGGAGTTACCGAACAGGTCCAGAGAAGACTTCCACAGAATAGATTGAAAGGAATTGTGGGAGGTAAAATAAAGTTGTTTATGATTACACTCCATTAGTTGACATACCAGTCACTGTTAGGTTAGTAGGTAAAATAAATAATAACTGTAGTCTCGAGTAAGTTTATTTCTCATTAGTCTACTTGTCTGCCTTTATAGCCCACTTGAAAAAGGAAAAAAAAAAAAAAAGAGAGAGAGAGAGAGAAAAAAAGAGAGAGAAAAAAAAAGCAAAGGAAACCAAGAAACAAATCCTTGAATAATATGAATACAAAAGCAGTACTTAGTCTAATAAATCATCCCCTTTGTAACCTGTTTGCTTACATCCTGGTTTAGAGACTCACTCCACCCATGCATGGTTTGAACTGCTTCCAAAGTGAGTAACATTTTCAGATGGAAGGATCCCAACAATTCATTAGCTCAGAAGTCCAACTAACTAACATAACCAAACAGAGTACTGGAGATATATATATATATATATATACTGTATACTATGACTACATTAAAAAAATGAGAGAGAGACAGAAGGAGGAGAGAGGGAGAGACTTTCAGCTTATATATATAACTCCTGGAGTTTACATAGTATACGTATATTTAGTATACGTATAAGTATTCGTTAAAAAAATCAGTTGAGTGTCTACTGTTTCATATGTGCATGGGATTTGAACTAGTTCAAGATAGGTGGGTAAAATTTGGGTTGTTGTTAACTGGTTGATTAAAAATAGTTTGCATTTATATTTGGAACTTGCAGTTCATTGTTTCCTTATTCATTTAGGATGGAGGGAAAACATGTTTGAGAAACTGAGTTAAGCGTCCCACTCTTGGTTTTGACTCAGGTCTGATCTCAGGAGTCGGCTTGAGTTTCTCTCTCCCTCTCTCTCTCTCTCTCTGAAATAAATAAATCTTAAAAAAAAAAAAAAGAAAGCCTTCTAAGTTTTACTTCTACAAATGCATATAGTTGGTTTCAACCCCAAAGACTGACAAAACCAAATCAAAGGAGCATTATTTGGGGTATAATTCTGCTAAGATATATATTCAATGATGCTTAAGAGATACTTAGTTATTTGATTTAAAAAAATATATTCTCTGTACATTATTTAGTGGATAATGTTAATTACTGGTACTACAGAATAATTACGTAGTCTTTAATTCTTTGAGTTCAAATATAATCTTACTCTCTCCCAACAATGTCACCCCTCCAATTCTTACAATATTGAAGGAAGAAAACTTACAGAGTATCAGAAAATCTGAAGAGCTCTGCAGCAGACCAGAGTTCATAAAGCTGATACACATTAGAGAGTCACAGAGAACTTTTATAGTGGCAAATGAACTCTTACATAAGCAAGAAAAGTAAAGGTCAGCCGATTTTTTTATTTTCGCCATGTAGGGTGGAGAAAAATAAATTACCTCAGGATGTTTACTTGTAATGAATACTTTCCAAGGCTATCTCCTGAAAGAAAAATAAATCCTCCCAGGTAAGTTCCTTGCAGAGCTAGCTAATCTTTATAATTCTCTCCAAATAGACAACATATACTCTTCTTGTTGACTGGCTAAGGAAACATTTATGTTTGCCTCAGGTAGCCTAAGTTAATGAGAAAAAAGTGAGTCCCCTAAATAATTTTTTTTCCAGAAAATCTGTTTTTTATTCCCTCTCTGTAAGTGTAGTGATCAATGTGAATGATTCCTGAACATTTCTTCTGCCTAAGGTAATTGATTGATGTAAGCAAATTGTGGTTATAGCACCCCTATTTTGAGTTCAAAAATTGGAATTGACATTTTCTGGCCAATGAGATATGAGTGTTCTAGAAAGGTTTCCTTGCTGCTAAGAAAAAGACATAATAAATGATGATCTTTAATCCCTTTACATTTTCTTGTCTGAATGTGACCCCTGAAATTGTCACAGTCATCTTGCTACCAACCTAAGGATAATGCCAACAAAGAATGGCAGACAGAAGAGACAGAAATAACTGGCTCCTTGATAATGTCATTAAGCAGATGATATTCCATCTCTGTATCCACCCAAACTCTGGACATTATTCTTATTATAAAATATAATAAATTCCTTAAATTTTAGGTGTCTTTTATTCTAAGTGTAATACATCGGTCTCACAATCAAGAGAGAAAAAGATAACAAAATTGCCAATTCAAAAAAAAAAATGAAGAAACGTATTCTGTAGCATCTTTGCCAATTCAAAAAAAAATGAAGAAATGTATTCTGTAAGGTCTTTTATGTGTAAGACACTGTACTATGTGCTAAAGGAGAATCAGAAGTGCATGGAAAATAGCTCACTCCCCATTCAAAGATGGTATAATTTGGATGGGGAATAAATTTATTTATGCCAATGAATAATGATAATTCTATCAAGTAGGACAACTGACATTGATATTAAAATATATAATGTTCTAGTAAACAAAAAGAACTGTCACATCCCCTAACATAACAGGGAGCCTTGGGGAGCAAAAGGCAATAAAAGGGTAAAATTTGGTAACTGCCTTCGAGAATTCAGAGAGTGAGATGAGCAAGAAAGTGAATGGCAATTTCAGGAAGCTTTAGCAAAGCACAAAGCTAGAACGGAATTTATTTTGAAAGGAACTAACAGAGCAGACTGAGTAAAAGAATGAGAGAGAGGAAGGGAGGGAAGCAGAAAATAAAGTGCAAGTGAGGGAATAAAAGAACAGTGGATAAAAATAAGACTGGAAACAGGGAAAGCCTTAGAAGTTAATAGAAATCTGGAGTTCATTCAACTTCATTGGAAATCAAGAACTCCAGAAGTGTATAAACAGAGAAGAAATATGGTCAGATTTTTATTTGTTTAAGAGATAACACTGATGGTCATGGTGAATGGATTAGATAGGGAGAAAAATGGAGATTCCCTTTTATAAGATAAACTCAGTTGAATAATGGTATTATCACTTACACTACAGGGAAATATTGAAATGCTTGCCACCTTATCAGTTTGGCCTGTCAGCTGAGGCTTTACTAGGTCTGCATCACAGCTCAGTTCTTTCTTTATCTAATACTACTTCCCCAGTGGCCCTCTCACACGTGTTGATCCCAAGAACACTCCCTTACAAATACCTATAAACTAATCCGCCTCTCCTGGTTGGCTTCTGGGGGAATTTAACCTACAGCACAACAGTAAGAATGGTTCCAGATCCACGTCCTTCTCTTGGAATGGGATCACGTTGGGCTGGATCTGATTATTCCACTTTGGTCTAATGTTGGGAGAAGGAAATGTCCAATCAATGTGCATGTCTATCCTGAACCTGTCCCACAGAGGGATCCACAGAGTATTCCCTAGCTGAAGAGAGAGTCCTTATGGACGAACAGTGGAAAAGCCTACTTGAAGTGAGAGGTATCCCATCCCATGTGTGCTTACCGTTGCCCCTAAGTCTATTAAATACCTATAGAAATAGTCCTTTCCTTCAAGAAAAGATCAGAATCTTATCCCTCTAATATAAACAACAGTAAAACAAAACAAACAAAACAAAACAAAAACACCCTCAAACACAAAACAAACCAGTTGGTGTACTTAAATTTTACTTTCCAGAGAGGAGAAATGTTCTGAAAGATCTAATTTTTACTCTCTTCCTCTACAGTCACTTACTCATCAAAGCTTATTGAGCATATAACTGTACAATTCATTGTAGAAGAGTCAAAATTTCATTTGAACAGAGTAAAGATAATACGAAGGATATCTGCAAATATTTGTTACTGAATTCGTTTGGTTAAAGATGTTGCTATAATCCCGGTGATTCCACACTAAAGGCCTGTGGCAAATATGAAGTAATGATGGCCATTTTTCAATAGGCACATCCTTGTTTGTACAAACACTTTTAAGTAAACACATATCCTAAATTTTGACACTTCAATTGAATACTTTCTACAGATTTTTTTTTTAACTTGCCAGAGGAAAATATCCCCAACCAGTCACTCCTAACTCAATTACGTGTTGTAGATTGCTTTAAGCCTAGAGCGTACAAAGGACATCCTTCAGCCCCACAGAGTCCCAACATGTGTGGTTTCTTCCACAGAGAAGTTTGGATTTTTGCCGAAGGGCATAGAGCCAATGCAAACCACGTAGGTCTAAACACTGCTAAAGCACTCCATTTTGACACTTAAACTTGCTACTGTGGAGTACCTTTTAGCACTGGAGTGATTTATATAAATTTTCAATGTGGATACCATAAATATAAGTTATTTCCTTTGTATACATAACCTCTTCTTGAATTATACATTTTATAAAGACAAAGGAATATCAGTCAGGCAGAAAATCTCTAGCATAGACCTTAATTTTACAATGTGTTCAAATAACCATTTATTTCAATAGTATCATGAGGGAAATCAATATTTCATAAACATTTATTTTATTAAATATTAGCACATTTCAAGGATGGAATGCAGCCAAAGAGAGATTTGCTTAAAATAGTCACAGAAGGAAGTTATGTTATCAGAATTTATTTTAAGCAATGATCTAATACACTCATTTCAGATAAATGAACTTTTTCTTCTAATCCCTGAAGGCAGAGAATAGCACAAGGACAAATTCCCTTGAAAGTATGAATTGCTTTTTTCTATTACACTAAAACTGAGACATATTTGGAAAAATGCTTTGTTAGTTATGTAGCAGCTCTTAAAGCAAAAATGTGAATCTGACTAGGATTTTCTTTGGTGGCTTTCATAAAAGGAGTTTTTTCTTGATATATTTACTGATGAATGAGATATTACTTGATACCATCAATAGGCTCTCCAATACAAATATTTTTTTAAAAAATTACTAAGGAAAAAATATACACTTAAAAATAAACGAAATGGAGCATGGAATGTTTTTCCATCTTTTTGTGTCTTCTTCAATTTCTTTCGTGAGCTTTCTGTAGTTCCCAGAGTATAGATCCTTTACCTCTTCGGTTAGGTTTATTCCAAGGTATCTTATGGTTTTTGGTGCTATTGTAAATGGAATCATTTCTCTAATTTCTCTTTCGACAGCTGCATTGTTAGTGTATAAGAAAGCAACTGATTTCTGTGCATTGATTTTCTATCCTGCGACATTACTGAATTGCTGTATAAGTTCTAGTAATTTGGGGGTGGAGTCTTTGGGTTTTCCACATAAAGTATCAT